CTCCAAGCAGACACCCGCTTGCAGCCGCACCTACTGGTGAACAGACGCTGCAGACTTCAGTGAGCCCTTAAACCGAGTAAGACGGAGTGGCTCCACCAAAGCTCCCTCTCTTTCTGCCTTGACCCAAGGCTCCACTAGGATTGGTTACCGCATCTCGCACATGGGTTACTCACGTTGCCCAGAGTGCGAGAACGAGGATGCAAGAGTCGGGATTGAGTATAACCGTGCAACTGTAATTGCATACACAGCACAACGACTATACCCCATTGCACTCCAAATTTCAAATTTAAAGCAGCATGACATCCAAGGTTTAACGTTTGACGTTTAAAATCACAGAATGATGTTTTTACTTAAGTTTGCAATGTGTAAAACGAGAAGTATAACCAAGACTGTAATCTCGTTAGGAACTGAGAGAAATACGACCATTGATTGATAAATGCCGGAAAATTTGCCATTATCGTTCCTCAAAACAGGCATGTTTGTACAAGCTCAGCATTCTTCCAGCTTATCTTCAATCAATTAGGGACACATGTTAAAACAATGTTATAAACTTTTGAATTAGCCGGTTTATTCAGGTGCTTATTTATGGCCCCAGAACTTAACTTAAACTATGTACATACATTTGTATATAATTAAGTCTGATTTGGGAATTACTTTAGCATTTCCTGTCGGCATAAGAGTTCATCTGTCATTAAAGTAGGAATTAACTGCATGGAAAAGACTGACCAAAATATTGACAATCAAAAGTCGTAAAGTCGTCTATAATATTTATGTATTTCTATAAGTACTTACATATGTATGTATTTCAGCACAAAATCCTAATTCAATATGAGCATTGTTTTAATTATAAATTTATCGGAATTTTCTTTCAAAAACCCACCATCTCTTGAAAAAATTGGCGGTGCAATTGCATTGGAAAACACAAATATATCAACTATGCCAGCTGGTTCGTCGAATTCTCAAGATTCATTCCCCGCTCCGGGCGCAGCCGCGAATCCAGCGATTGATGGTTATCCAGGCTATCCGGGCAGTTATCCCGGCACTGCTGGTCCACAGCCGGACTACGGCGCGGGTGTTGGCCAAATGCAACGGCCACCCCCACAAAGCAACGCACAAACTCCACATGCAGGTAATTAACAAATACAAACTATGTTTAAAATAATAATTTTTCGCTTTGCATTATTTACAAACATATATATATAAAAAAAATATGTACTAAAAAGGTTCATATTTGCAAAATTCCAAAACTTAACTAACATTTCAAGTGTAACTGTCACTAACACTGGATACAAATGGCACGTCTCTCAATTCCAAATTAGTAACTCATTTTAAAAATACATCTCAAAAAATAAAAAATAAAATAAAAAATCCTATCCAATAAATAGTCTGTAATTTGTTTCACATTTTTCAATTAATATTAATTTATTTCTTTATTTTTGATTCTTATTTTTGCAAATTTCAATCACTTAACTTACTTTCTCATCACCAACCATCATCATCATCTCACCAAAACCACAACCACCACCACCATCACTACCAACAAAACATCATATACAAATTTTTTAAATATCAACAAACAAACAACAAAATCAAAAATCGAAAATCGAAATAAAATGAATGAACCATCATCATTCGTGGTAATTAAAAACGAAAACGAAAATCAAAAACAAAACAATTTGAATCATCAACTATTCATCTCGAATCACGCATCCATAGGCAATACTCAAACAGCAGCAACTGGTGATAATATTAGTGTGAGCAATCCTTTTGACGATCCGGTTGTGGGTGGCGGTGGTAGTGGCAATAGTAGTGTGAGCAATGCACCACCGCCGCCGCGTGCCTCCCCTTATCAACAGGGCGCTGGCAATTCGTACACGCCGGTGTCTAGGACGCCAGGTATTAATTTCTTTGTTTATTTTAATTTTTCTGTGTAGTTTTGTTTGATTTTTTAGTTTCTTAGTGATTTGCATTGGCTTCTTTTGGTTTTCAAAATGTCTCCTACAGATTTCATTTATTAGCGCAACTCACTTTACGATTATGTTTTTTCATTAATTTTGTGTTTGGTCTTTTTTTTTT